GGGAGCTATGATTTGAAGTTAAAATGAGGTGGAGATAGTAAGACCCTGAGATAACTGATTTAATTTCAGGCCGCCCTCCAGTTTCATTAGTAGGTATATTGACCCTCTCACTGGCAGTACATGAATCTTCTGTCCCATGAATATGACTCTATTCTTGGAAATATCACTTATCTTAGAACAGGTATAAAAGTAAGTTCCTGCAGACCACCCCAGGGTTGGGATAGTCTCCCACATGAGTGACCCTGTTGGTGGAGGATAAACTTCCAGAGAACGGGAACAGCTATTATCAGCCAAAATTCAAAGTCACCAGGCTTAGGGCAATGGGAGGAAGTAGGCAGGGCATCCAAAGTGTCCTCTATTTCCTTAAATAGCCATTTATGACTCTCTCATTCTTGATGTTCTAAGACCTTGTTCATTCTTTTCATATTTCCTGCTGTATTGCCTGTGAAGTGAAGAGTCACATCACAGCAGCATAATCTCAGATTGGGCAGAACCTCCCATCTCCTGTAATAAAAGCCTTCTTTGATGCAGTGTTTCCTGACATAATCTTGTATCTTTTTTATATATAAATTATATAACTTAATATGTATTAGAATATCTGTTCCGAAAATACTCAGGTAGCCACATTATTTGAAATTATTTAACTTTCTAAAATCGAAATATGTTTCTGGTCTTCCATTCCTTGGCTCTTGGCCTGAGCTCTGGTGTCACAGCCTATTTTACATATGGCATATAGGAAGGGAACAGTCCGGTATTATAAGCTTATATTACTAACGATTCAGGAAGGTCTCTATCCTAGGAGTTTTGCTGTTTGTTGAGTAAGTCTGTGCTGAAAATACCAGCTTCTTTTTTTTTTTTTTCTGTGTAGTTTGATTCTATTATCTGTCAGCCTTACGGATTCCACAATAATCTCTGAAGATCCCATCCTTTAAATCATCCACTACAGGCTCTGATGGTTAATTTTATTTGCCAATTCGACTGGGCCATGGTGTGTCCAAATATCTGTCAAACATTATTCTAGGTGTTTTTGTGAGGGTGTTTTTAGATGAGAATTACATTTAAATTGGTAGGCCAAGGAAAGCAGACTGTCCTTCCTACTGCAGGTGGCTTCATCCAGTCAGTTGAAAACCTGAATAGAACAAAAAGTCTGACCCTTGCCCAAATCAGAGATAATTCTTCCTGATTTATGACCTTCAAACTGGAATGTAGACCTTTTTTACTGCCGTTAGATTGAACTGAAACATCAAAACTTCCTGGGTCTGAAGCCTGATGACTTTTGTGTTGCAAGCATGGCCTTCAGACTTGGAATGGGACTGAACTACAAGACTCTCTTGAGTTTTCAACTTAATGACTCAGTGTGCATATCTTGGAACTTGCCTTCCTCCATGATCATATCTGTTAATTCCTTATATTAGGTTGGTATCAATGTAATTGCAGTTTTTGTCTTTTTTTAATGTAGTGAATCACATTTATTAATTTCCTTATTTTTATGTACATTCTAAGTTTTTAGTTTTTGTTTTCAGTTCTGAGGTACATGTACAGGACGTGCAAGTTTATTACATAGGTAAACCTATGTGAAGGTGGTTTGCTGCACATATCAACCCATTACCTAGATGTTAAGCCCAGCATGCATTAGCCATTTTTCCTAATGCTTTCCCTTACCCCACCTCAACCCCTGACTGGCCCCAGTGCATGTTGTTCCCCTTACTCTTTCCATGTGTTCTCATTCTCATTGTTCAGCTCCCACTTCTAAGACAGAACATGTGTTTGGTTTTCTGTTCCTGCATTAGTTTGCTGAGGATAATGACTTTCAGCTCCATCCATGTCCCTGCAAAGGACATAATCTTGTTCCTTTTTATGGCTGTATAGTATTTCGTGGTTAACATGTACCACGTCTTTTTCGATCTAGTCTATCTTTGATGGGCATTTGTGTTGATTCCATGTCTTTGCTATTGTGAATAGAGCTGCAATGAACATACAGGTGCATGTTTCTAAGTAATGGAATGATTTATATTCCTTTAGGTATATACCCAGTAATGGGATTGTGGGATCAAATGGTATTTCTGGTTCTAAATCTTTGAGGAATTGCCACACTGTCTTCCACAATGGTTGAACTAGTTTACACTCCTCCCACCAACAGTGTAAAAGTGTTCCTGTTTCTCTGCAACCTAGCTAGCATTTGTTGTTTCTTGACTTTTTAATAACCACTATTCTGACTGGCATAAAATGGTATCTTATAGAGGTTTTGATTTGCATTACTCTAATGATCGGTGATGCTGAGACTTTTTTCATATGTTTTTTGGCCACATAAATGTCTTCTTTTGAGAAGTGTCAGTTCATGTCCTTTGCCCACTTTTGTGCATTTTATTGTAAATTTGTTTAAGTTCCTCAGAGATTCTAGATATTAGACCTCTGTCAGATGGACGAATTGCAGAAATTTCCTCCCACTCTGTAGGTTGCTTGTTTGCTCTGATGATAGTTTATTTTGTCGTTTAGAAGTGCTTTATCTTTATTTCTTTATTTATTTATCTGTATTTTGAGATGGAGTCTCACTCTTTCATCCATGCTGGAGTGCAGTGGTGTAATCTCAGCTCACTGCAAACTCTGCCTCCTGGGTTCAAGCGATTCTCCTGCCTCAGCCTCCTGAATTGCTGGGATTATAGGTGCCCATCATCACAAGATGGATTTTCATCATATTGGCCAGACTTTTCTCAAACTCCCTGCCTCAAGTGATCCACCTGGCTTGCCCTCCCAAAGTGCTGGGATTACCAGCATGAAGCACCATGTCTGACATCTTTAGTTTAATTAGATCCCATTTGTTAATGTTTGCTTTTCTTCTAATTGTTTTTGATATTTTTGTCATGAAATCTTTGCCTGTATCTGTGTCCTGAATGGTATTGCCTTCGTTTTCTTCTAAGGTTTTATACTTTTGGGTTTTACACTTTTTTCTCTAATCTATCTTGATTTAATTCATGTACCAGTTGTAAGGAAAGAGTCCAGTTTCAGTTTCCTACATATGGCTGGCTACTTCTTCCAACATCATTTTTTAAATGGTTAATCCCTTCCCCATTGATTGTTTTCGTCAAGTTTGTTGAAGATCAGATTGTTTCAGATGTGCAGTCTTACTTCTGAGTTCTCCATTCTGTTCAATAGATCTGTGTATCTGTATTTGTATCAGTACCATGCTGTTTTAGTTACTGTTACCTTGTAGTATAATTTGAAGTTGGGTAAATCCTGGTGATTCTATTTTTCTAAAGAACCATGACTAACATAGGGCCATCTCATTTATTTTTGAGGCACTTTGACACTATTCACTGTCACCTGTCAGTTTGGCCCATGTACTAGAAGTCTATGAACAAAAACTCCTAAATTTCCCATAAAATAAATGTTGTCTATGAGTTTATTAATAACTATGACTTTGTCCAAGGATTTAGACTATATAATCAAAACAGATTTACATTATTTAATTGGACATGAAGACCTCCAGGTCCTTACTCATTTCTAATCATCCTTGGTGCCTAATTGAATATTCATAGAATCTAGTCTTATCTTTAAATACATCGCATTTCATTTACCCTATAAAAATCTACATCGCTGATGAAGGAACCCAGCAATTATTTGTTAATGAGATCAATAAAGTTTATGTGTCCTTATCTAGTATAAATTCATTTTATATGGGAGGAAATGTAATCTGTCAACTCATTAGACCATACACATTTTTTCAGCCTGTCTCAGATTCTTCCATATCTTCCTAATCATTTCCAAGATTGGTTTATTTATTTTGTTTACAGGAATGCACACTTAACCTTTCATTTCCTGACTCAAATTAAATATTCCTATGGCATATTATCCCTTCAAGCCCATACTATACAATTATAACATTATTTGGAAAAGAAAGGATGATATTTGATAAAGGCTTTTTTTAATGTGTATTCTTTTACACCTTAGATTTCCTATAACTACATGCTACTTATTTATCTTAAGAGGCACCATGAAATTTATTCCTCATGAGGTCTTTCCCTGTATAAGTTATATTCTTTCAGTCCTGAGTGATCGAAAGCAGAATTACAGGTTTCATCTACTGTAAGAAGGTGGTTCACCAGTTTGTTAGTCCACTGGGCCACTCTGAATTCTACTCTTCTTATGAATACAGCTTATATGCAGTCTTTCCTGGGAGAGAGTGTTATAAATAGGCTTTTTTTAACTTTTATTTTAAATTCAAGAGTATAAGAGCATGTTTGTTACATAGGTAAACTTATGTCATGGGGTTTGTTGCACAGATAATCTCATCACTCAAGTATTAAGCCTAGTCCCTTTTGTCACTTTTCCTGATCCTCTCCCTCCTCTCACCCTCCACCCTCCAAGTGACCTCTGTCTGTTATGTACCCCTCGATGTGTCCATGTGTTCTCACCATTTAGCTCCCACTTAGAAGTGAGAGCATGTGGTATTTGGTTTACTATTCCTGTACTAATTTGCTAAGCCTTCTAATAGTACATAGTGTTTTACCACAGGAAGGCTTGTAGGAGATCATAGAAAGTTCTAAATTTTATGATGACAGTAACATGGTGTGCTTATACTATGTTTATGTTGATTGTTAAAATGGGTTTTGAATAGGAAAACATGTCTAAGTGGATTTCCACCATGTAACCTTCTGTATAAATGAGTAGAGATAATTATTTAGTCTTCCCCTCAGATGTCTTGTGTCTGTATTAATCCTACAGCATATTCTCAGTGAATTTAGTTCCTCACCTACTTTCAAATCAGAAATGAACTTCTTAACAGGGGAAATAACTTCGTAAACCATTCACCAAGTGGTCAACTTTCCTGCCATTTTTAGGTTCCATGTCCTGTATTTTAGGAAAAGAGGCAGCTCTCCTACCTAACAGTGTTTTCCAGTTTAAATTTTAGGTTAGAGAAAATTCACATATCTGTAACAGAGATTATACAATTATTAATAGTCTTTGGTTATAAGTGACTGAAAGTAAGCTGAACAAAAAAAGAAAATTACAAGAAGAAGACTTTATTAGACTGTGGAATCAAAAAGGAACTCAAACTGTCCTTGTTATTGAGTCTCAGGAAGACATGGGATCAAGGATATGAAGATCCTTTTTATTTATTATCTTTCTTTATCTATAATTTACTTTAACTGCTTATTAGAGTTTGAAGTCACTTGCCTGATGGAAAACATTGTAATTAACAATTCTCAGCACTGCATTTTAGTAATTTTACCACAATAAAGGATTACTATTCTTTTTGCAATGTCACATTGAAAAATTCTTTTAAAAAAGTTCTGTGGTTAGGAGTTTGGAGATACAATGGAAAATATCAGCTTTCATAGGGGACAACATTTCTGGAGTAGAAAGAGAAGAAATTTTCAGAAAAAGGAAGTAGGTGCTACTTCTATAAGCATGGTGGAATACAAGGCACAAAGTAGAAGCAACTTAAGATAGATTATTTTAGTGGAGTACCAGTCACACTCGCCTTATAGTTAGAAGATATAAATTTGAATCACAACTATACCACTTATAAATTTTATTTCCTTGGAGGGCATGTTTAATTTTTTATATTAAATTCACCCCCACAAGAAAATAGTGATAATATCTACCTCACAATATTCTTATTAATAAAATAAGTTGTGGATGTGGTAGAGCAGAAGTTGAGGGACACATGATTGCTTTTGTGAATGACTGAAAGCAGCACAAAAACCTAGCATCACATACATGCACTCACACTCACAATTTAGCATTCAGACTGTGTTGCTCAGATGACGTGGAGTGACAAGGATGACACAAGAACAGAAAATGAAATACCGCATATTCTCGCTCATAGGCGGGTGATGAAAAATGAGAACACATGGACACAGGGAAGGGAGTACTACACACTGGGGTCTTTTGGGGGGAATAGGGGAGGAACAGCGGGGGGGGGGGTGGGAGCTGGGGACGGATAGCCTGGGGAGAAATGCCAAATGTGGGTGAAGGGGAGGAAGGCAGCAAAACACACTTCCATGTGTGTACCTATGCAACTATCTTGCATGTTCTGCACATGTACCCAAAAACCTAAAATGCAATAAAAAAAGAAAAAAATGATATAGCCTATAGTTTTTTTCTACATGCTCAGTTCTTTCACAATTACATTTCTTAATGAAACAAAATATGAATAAGGATTGCAGTCCTTTTTTTTAAGTTGGACTCTCTTTGAGCAAAGTCTGAGGTAGAGATTCAGATGTGTGTAATTTATTAATGAATGCTTTCAGGAGACAGGAATCAAGGAAAAGTAGCATAGCCAAAGGAAGGAAGTAAGTAAGTGCACAGTCACAGCTGGAGCTTAGCTTCAGAAGCAAGAGGGTCAATATTTGCCTATCCTGGGGAGCAGGGATCATTTTCTTCATGAGATATTTCCTACTGAGTTGAGAACAACACCCTGCAGAATGCAGAAACCATGAACAACGAGCAGCCAACATTCACATGTGCACAGTTATGTAAAATGATCTGGGAAAAACACCAAAGACATAAACAGTATCTTCCATAGAGTCCCCTCTCCTGTCTCACTGAAGTATTATTTTTTCTCTGATTAAAGCGTAAGTAAGACATAACCTTCCTCTTTATAGGATATTTTAAATTGAATGATGGGTCCCTTCCTAACACATCAGACACATATTAATCAAATAAGAAATGAAATCGTTGTATTATTTTGGGAAATTTACACTTATAAAATGGAATCAGACTATATGTACAGACAGCCATCATTCTTCAAAAAATACATAAACCTATTTTTTGAGCCTTCAGACCTTGTTCAAAGCAAAAGGAGAGTAAAGGAACTGTCTCTTCCACTAATTCAGACTAGTTATCCATGGGTAGATAGCTTCAACATCAGAGCTAACAACGAGGGTAGTAGGATAAGGATGAGAGCAAGATAGAAGGAGGTGCTGACTGTGTCTATGTCTTCTAATTTAACCATGATTACTCTTCTCACATTTTTTGTTAAAAGTTTGTAGGAAGAAACTGTCTTCAGGAATAAATATGAGTTTATGGTCTTTGAGACAAACTCATGATCATTTGATGGAGAAAGGAGGAGCCAACTAGACTGTTGGGATGGTAAGTGATTAGGTCACTAATCAAAGATTACATTATTTTTTTGCAGGAAAATTCCTGGACTTCAGTGACCAAATTTATAGGTTCCCATGATTTATGTGGACATCTGCAGAGGAATTCATAAGAGTTGAAAATTGGATTTGATATAGTAAACCAAACTCCATTCCATTTCACTTCAACCAACTAATAATTTTATATTCTTATTGCTGTTCCTATCTGCTAACTTTATACCATGAAATAAACATGTTAGTTACATTATAGTTAGTTACCAATAGATGCCTAAGGTATTGTTATCACAATAACAGTGGAAATCTTAGAGAAATATTCAATATACAGGAATGCAATAAAAATTTGTGCAAACTACATTTAGCTAAAGATTTGGGCTTAAAAAATGCCTTAAGGAAATTTGAAACTCTATTTTAACACCTATTTTTACCAAGACATATGAGCATGCATGCTAGATATGAGACTTCTTTGCTCTCCCCCTAAATATTAGAGTTTTTGCATTCTGTGAGCATGACTGTGATGGTCAGAGATCAGGTTCCAGTTCTATGGGTAGTAAAACAGTGAAGAATACCATTCCGAATCTGCTTGGTCTTGACACCATATATTATAGGATTCATTAGTGGTGGGAACAGAAAATAGACATAGCTCATAGTGAGGTGAACAATATGTGGAACCTGCTTTCCAAAACGATGAATCAGAGACAATCCAATCACTGTGACATAGAAAACCAGGACACAGCAGATATGGGAGACACAGGTATTGAGGGCCTTGGCCCTCTCCTCTCTGGAGGCAATGCTCAGGACAGTCTTGAGTATCAACACATAAGAAATGAGGATAATCAGAAAATCCAGCACAAATATAAAGACTATAAGCACAACTGGGTACAGTCGGTTGAAGGTGGTATCAGCACAGGCCAGTTTAATGACATCCTGGTGAAAGCAGAATGCATGTGAAAGAAGATGGGAGTGACAATAGGGAAAAAAATAGAGGGGTATGATTGGGGGAACAACAGATACAAATCCTCTCATCAGAACTCCCAGTCCAATCTTCATTATTCGAGTGTTAGTAAGTATACAGGTGTATCTAAGAGGGTTGCAGATGGCAATGAAACGATCATAGGCCATGACAAGCAGAACACCAGACTCCACAAAGGAAAGCGAGTGTATAAAGTAGGCCTGGGAAAAGCAGGCTGCACTTCCAATCTCCCTGTGATCCAGCCAGAGGACTCCCAGCACGGTGGGCACTGTGGTCAGGGTCATCCCTAGGTCTGTGGCAGCCAGCATGGCGAGAAAAAAGTACATGGGTTCATGAAGACTGTGGTCTTCCTTAATGAGAAGGAGGAGGGTGCCATTGCCAAAAAGGACAGAGATATAGATGAAAAAGAAAAATACAGAAATCCAGTGGTGAGTTGCCTCCAAGCCCGGAAAACCAGTCAGCAGGAAGGAATGGGAGCTGCTGTTGGACCACATCCTGAGTTTATATATAAGAAATGTCTTTCTCTTTCTGTTGTTACCACAATGCGCAGTTCCAACTTCCAGGTAGCACTTCGAATATTTCATTCTCAGAATTTTTGCCTGAAGAAAACAATGGCATCAATATAAGTGATTGTTTCTCAAAATACATTCTTAGGGTTACCCTTAGTGTTTAACTGCACATTCCAGGTGCTATCTCCTACCTACTTAATCAAATTCTTGGAGTTTCAACTGTTTCTATGCATTTAAGTGTTCTCTCCAGAAAATTTTTTATGCAAACTTCAACTTCTAAACTGTTTCCCTTAACTACATAGATTTTAAAGAATACGTATTCTATGGGGCATTCAAGTGGATTTCAAGGAGCCCAACACTAACTTTTTTCTAGTCTACCAACTAACCTGTAACAGCTTTCACAGTAGTGACCCCTAATCCACATTTTCCTGTATATGAAGACTTATCTGAATTATCAGCTGAAGTCTCAGCAGCCTAAGAGGGAAAAGTGTGGGAAGAGAAACTACCACTGTAGCTGAGGAGCAGACAGATCGAGAAAGAGATACATGACCTCCCGATGTCATGGATTAGTGATGGGGAACAGACATTCATGATTAGTGTGAATTACTCTCTTGTTGGAGCCTGTGGTACTACTCACTCTTTGTGACAATGGCTCAGTCTAATAGTTAGTTAGATAGCCACAGACTTTTTGGCTGGAATAACTGATTAGGCCAGCCAAAGACATCACTGAAAATAGTGTATCCCTTTCAGTTTAAACATCTTACTTTTTTTTATTTACAAGTAGTGTATTTTTCTTTTTAAATTGTCTTTCTGTAGGGCCACTGAAGTGACTTCCTAGAATCTGATCTCTCATTTCAAGCTCTCCATTTGTATTTACACAACGATCTTCCTGATTTTCTTCCCTTTATCCTCAGCCATAGGCTTCTGAATCTGTTCTCCCCAATATTGAGTGAGAGCTCTTTCACTGCTTAAACAGGATGCTGTCTTTTACTGAAGAGATTAGTCCTTTCAGAAGGCTTTACTATCCATTCTGACACTAGACTAGAGGCTTCTTGCATATTGACGTGGTATTTATTTGCTTTGCTCAACACTTTGCAATGTACCTAATATGTGGCTAATAGACATTCCTTAATTCACCTAATATGTTTGAATACCCGTCATGTAACAGCCATGACATTTAAAGCTCTCTGAAATTAAATGGCAATAAGACAAAATCCCTAATCTTAGAAATCATAAATAAGTTGAAAAATAAATAAGACAATTTTAAATAAATATAAGTACAAGTTTAACATAAAATAGTACTACTTAATGGAGATTAATTTGATGATATTGTATACAGGTTAGGATAGCAGTTTGAGGGGCTTAGAACTCCACCTATGAGGAGGTTCCATTTGAGCTGAGACCTAAATAACAACAACAATAAAACCTGACCATATACAGACCTAGAGGAAGACTGTTCCAGAGTGAAAAGCAGCATGACTCGAGTTTGGTAAGAACACCGGAGAGGGACAATAGATAACGTCAAAGAAGCAGGTAGTGATCAGGGGTCACAGGGCCTTATGGACCGCAGTGGGATTTTTTGTTTTGTTTTGTTTGTACTGTAAAGGTAGTAAAGACAACATTTGGAAAATCACATTGGAAAATAGAGGTGTGATATACTCTGATTTGTATTTTTAAATTACTCATGTAGACTGCTATGTGAAGAATACTAAGCAAGAGATAAGAGATGAGTTAGAGAGCTACTTTAAAAATTCATAGGAAGAATGATGGTGACCTTGACTAGGAAGAAACAGAAGAAATGTAAAAAACAGAAAAAAATAGAACACTTTAACAAACAGACACACATTTTTGGGGTAGTGTCAAGATTTGCTGATATATTAAAAATGGGAGTGAGAAAGAATGAAATGAGGTTTTACCTAGATTTCTGCTAGAGCGAATGAAGGAATGGTAAAGCCATTTACCCAAAAGGGAAGTCTGAGGAGGATCCATATCTACTTGTGAGGAAATCAAGAGTTATTAGTAAATATAGCTGAATTAGAGCAAATCCATGCCTTACTTTTTTTCTTGTCACATACCAGAACAGCTTCTTCAAGTTGTTTCTACCCTAAATTAAAAAGATGGTCTTATCCAAATTTACCCCTTCAGAGTTTTTTTTTGTCAGCGTAAGTCAGTACCCTAAAAATGCCACCAAAGAAAATGATCATCTTACCTTCCACCCATACAGACAGATGAGATCTAACTGTAATCGTTTCAGTGAAGAGGTGCCAGACAAGTGGGCATGAGGTAACAACTCAGCACTTTTGGCTTGATGTTAAGGAATAAAAAATTGAAAGAATCATTTTTCAGCATCCATATTCTGTCCTAAGACTGAAAGACATAAACCAGAATTCGGCACCTATCGAAACGTATAATGAGTGGTGTATATTCTCCAGTTACTACATGCAAAGATAATCCAACTCAGCTCCTCCTCTTCTGTGTTCTATGTACAACTTCTTGTCTCTGTAAACACCCTTACTTCTCTGACCTTTCAGCAATAATATCCTTTAACTCAATCTCTCACTGTATCTCAACTTTTTGAAAAATTCCTTGCTATAAAAGAATATACAGCATAAGTGATGAATCAGTACAGGGAAAGCTAACCAAAGTGTAAGAGAGTGATTGCATTTTGCCAACAACCTACAACTTAAACTTTCCCCTTCTCCATTCCCAAGAATTCCATGCAGACGTACCTTGTAATGCAGCTAGAATAGTGATCTATAGTATCACTCTACTTCATTTTGTGGAAAATCCACATGTCTTCAGCTAGTCACTGCTCTTGGTTTCTGAGAAGAAAGACCATGAGGGAAGAGACAAAAGCTGAAGAAAAAATATGGGGAAGGAAAGAGATTACAAAGACTGAGGATAGAACCAAGGAGAAGATGCTAAATTGAACACCTAGAAAATCAGATAAACTTCTGCCATTTAGAGCCATAATTTTTCTCTGGTTTGTTTGAAAAGTAAAACCTAGTAGAAGAAAGAGATGCCTTCCTGTACATCTCTTAGAAAGGAAAGGAGACATATGAGAGATTCAACCATATTCACATCACTGAGTACAGAAGGTCTTAGGTACTTGGAATTGCTTTTTAAGTGCTATCAACTTCAGGCTGAGATCTCTACACACATAAAGCTGTGTACTATTAAGATCCTTCACTTCTTCTCTTTATCTCTTTCTGGAGCACTTGTAGAGGACTCTCCTAGTATACTCTTTACACAGCTGCAGGTATTACACCATACTCCCCTGTACCATAACTTGATTGATGGTGAGGAGGAGCAGGGTTATTGTGTCTTACCTAAAGACTCAGATTCGTGGTTCTTTCACAACATCTGATAAGCGAGCAAGTCACTGAGGTTATTAATAAAGACAGCACCTTCCCAGGTGTCTCCTTTTCATAGCCAACTTAGATCTTAAGAAATATTTATTCTGTATTAACTCCTTCTATGAGGGAGCTGGAACACTTAATTTGTCCCCCAAGCTCTTAAATAATCTTTTTCCAAATAAGTTACTAGGCTAATCAAGCCACTTGTAGGAGCTTTATGTGTGGGGAATCAGAGAGCCTGTCTTCATAGCCCCAGCAGACCCTGGTATCACCTTTGGGAGGCAATTTATTCCCTACATTTACTTCAAAGGTGGAATGTTTCCTAGTTTATCTCAAGAGGAAGCTATACATCTTCTTGGCCTACATAACCTGAATTTCAATAATATATCCTGCTTGGTTTATATCAGAGAAAGCTCAAAAGCAGAGAGCTAGATAGACTAGAGTCAATATAATAAAATGTGGGCAGCCTTCTCTAGAACCCAATGTGAACCCACAATCTGTGGTTATCACTAACTATTCCCTTGCTGGGTTTAGCTTACCAGAAGTTTTCTCTTTTCCAGGGAATGCAGCAGGCATACTTATCACACGGTGCTTCAGCCAAGCACAACACGTCACTTTAGTCCCAAGGTCTATAATATTTTTGGTTTTCCCTCGAATCCCAACAGGAACCACTCTGCCTGCTTCTAGTTTTAAGGGGAAATACACAAATATACACAAATATGTGAATATATAAATATATTACCAGAAGAACAAATTTCCTTTCACTGAATAAATTTTTCAGCTGTTACTAAGCTTTGTTATCATTAATGTAATGCTCAATGCAAATCAAAGACTCTCACTACCTGTTATGAATTGAATCATGTCCCAACCCAAAATTCATATGCTAAAGTACTCACCCCTAGTACCTGAGAATATGACTGCATTTAGAGATAGGGTCTTGAAAGAAGTAGTTAAGTTAAAATGAGGTCATTAGGGTGTGTCCTAATTGAATATGACTTGTGTCCTTACAGGAAGAGGAAATTTGGATATGGACAGATAGAAAGGGAAAACCATGTGAACACACAAGGAAAAGATGGCCATTTACAAGCCAAGGAGAGAGGCCTCAGGAAAGAAAAACCCTGTCGACCATTGACTCTGGACTTCTAGCTTTCAGAACTTAGGAAAGATTAGTTTTTATTGTTTAAATCATGCAGTCTATGGTTTTTTGTTATAGAGGCCCTGGAAAATTAATTCTCTAGCAATGTAAACACGGGCAAGCTACTTACCCTTTTCAATACTAAATGTATATTTCAGTATAAATTTAATAAATATGTATAGAAATTAATGCTGCCTATTACAAAATGTTGATGATACACTTAGGCTTATAAGACATTCTTGGATATTTTCTCAGAGAAATGAATGCTTATGTCTATACAAAGATCTCTATATAAGTGTTACTAAAAGCTTTTTTTTTGGTCATTGCTGAAGACTGGGACTAATCCAAATGTTCATCTATAGGTGAGTAGATAGACTGTGGTACAACTTGCAAGAGATTGCCACTTAGCAATAAAAAATAACAAATTATTAACACATGGAACTAGTGGATATATGTTAGGAAAATTCTGCTGAGTAAAAATAAGGCAATGATTTCGTCTATGTAGTTTTATTGAAATGTTAAAATTATTGATATGGAAATCAGATTAGCTGTTGCCAGGGGTTAGAGATAAAGGGAGAGGGAAAAGGAAGAAGGGTGGGTGTTTCTAAAAAGAAGTAGTATGAGGGAGCCTTGTGGAGATAGGTTTATTCTGTATTTTGACAGTGGTGGTATGCACATTAATCTAAATATGTAATAAAATCGCATAGAACTATATACATATACACAAATATGAGTGCATGTAAAACTGATGACATTAGAATAATCTGTGTGAATCATATCAATGTCAATTTTCTGGTTCTGATAGTTATTCAAGGTGTAACCACTAGGTAAAAGCAGATTGATATGTCCACAGGATCTCCCTGTATATGTTTTGCAACTTCTTATGAATCTATAATTATTTCAAAATGAAAGGTTAAGAAAACAAATGACCTGAAAGGGAAGGGTTTATTTTTTTCTTTTTTATATAGAAACTTTACTGAAGCTCTGGATAAGCCTCAGTCTACAAGAAACCTTGGTGACCACATGTACTGTTGAAAAGCAGTAAAACCCTGCAAATATTTTTGTAATATCTGGATAATAAGTTCTAATTGTTCACTGGCTTATAGGTGATGAGAACTGGAATTAGATTGGACATATAAATCTGAAACATCTTGGAAAATGACCTGCAAATATAAGATACTAACAAAGAAATTGTTGTAGACATGAGATATGTAGTCCAGAATCCCCTTTAGAGAAAGTTTCTGACGGGCACAGTGACTCACACCTGTAATCCCAGCACTTTGTGGGGCCAAGGCCGGGGGATCACTTGAAGTCAGGAGTTTGAGACCAGCCTGACCAACATGGTGAAACCCCATCTCTACTAAAAATACAAAAATAAGCCAGGCATAGTGGCAGGTACCTGCAATCCCAGCTACTCAGGAGACTGAGGCAGGAGAATCTCTTGAACCCGGAAGGCGGAGGTTGCATTGAGCCAAGATTACCTCACTGTACTCCAGCCTGGGTGACAGAGAGTGGGACTCTCAAAAAATAAAAAGAAAGAAAGAATTCCTGCCTTGCTCTGGGAATGTGGTCAACAGACAGTCTTCAACTCTCAGCTCATACAGGACCCTCAGTTGCACAGAACCACTTTGCCCAAGACTCTTTGGGGCAACTCGCATCTGATGACTAAAACAGGGTTTTAAAAACCTGGCCATTTCCCCCAGTGTGGGGTAATATTGTTGGGTAGTACTTGCTCCAGAGTTTTCTCCTAGATTGATCAAACCTTTTGCCAGCCTGGATCTCAGTTTGATTTCTTCCTCTGACCAATTCTACCTCCTCTTTCTTTTCTTCAAAGGTATTGCTTTCTAGCAAATACCTTTTACTTCAAAAAGTGTCAGCATCTACTTCTGGATAGCCCAGCCTGTATCAGGAATATAGTCAATTATCAAATGGCTTGGTTATCTGTAAAATGCATACATTTGATTATTTAATGAGAATATAAATGTTCTCGATAGGGAGCCATTATAGGGCATAAAATATATCATCACACAGGTGATTCCATGCCTATTTCTGCTAACAAGATAATGTTGTAACTATGTGAAATGATGCAAGAGGGTGGATCTAGCTATTGTTGTGATTTCCAGGGTCATTCTGGGAAGAAAAAAAATAATGCAGGCTAATCAAAGTCACAAAATTAATCTGGGCATGAAAATTTTTTATCCTTAAAATTTTTTAAGATGTCTTAACTATTACACACAAATAACCCATAAATAAGTCTGAATTGAAATTAAAAGTTAAAACCAAAAGTTAAAATTCTAGTTCTTGTTCTGGGTGGCAACTATGTGAGTGAACTTATTCTGCATAGACAAAATTCAATTTGTGGTGAACAATAAAATAAAGATATTATAAGATAACAGAGTTATTTTTATTCACTGATTTTGGATTTAAGATGTCTTAACTATTACACACAAATAACCCATAAATAAGTCTGAATTGAAATTAAAAACGTATTTTTGTGAAAGTTATTATTAAGAGAATAAAAATGTCTGGTATAAGTTGTAAATTTGCTGTACTTATATCTGGCACAAGAGTTATATCAATAATTTATAAATAAAACCTCAAAATCAATAAGAGAATAATAGACAACCTACTTGGTTTTGAAATGGGTAAAAGTCTGAAAAAGGTACTTTACAAAAGAGGCAAGTGATCAGTAAACATATGAAAATATATGCAATGTTTTTCATAATGAAGGAAATGCAAATCAAAATTACATTGAGATACCAGTATAAACGCAGTAAAATGACTTCTTCAAAAACCCCAAAACACCTAGTGTTGTTAAAGATGTAACCAATTGAAATGCTGGTGAACTGTTAGTAGAATATATTTTTAACAAATTATTACTTTAGAAACTATTTGACAGTATCTGCTGTAGATAAGCGTATGTTTACCTGAGGAGTTATTCCCATGATGAGGCCTAATAGAAATTCATATGTATATGCACAAAACAAACAATTGAATAAATATGTAGCAGAATTATCTAGGTAGCATTCTGTGACAGCCCCAACTATTACTCTTAACTATCAAGAGCAGCAGAGTAAATACGGGGTATATTCATACAATGGTAATATTGTATAGAAAAATGAACAAACTACTACCACACAAAAACACACAGATATGTCTCAAAAACATAATGATGAGCATAGACTCAAGACAGGAAAGAAAAGATAGACTGTAATTCCACTTACATAAAGGTGACAATTTAGTAAAAGTCATCTGGAAGGTGAACGTGAATGGAGCACAAATTAATTTCTGGGTACTGTTAAAGTTCTAGTTCTTGTTCTGGGTGGCAACTATGTGAGTGAACTTATTCTGCAGCAGATTCATTGAGCTAGACCTTTATGATGTGTTCACATTTCTTTATGTAAATTAACCTTAATAATTTTTTGCTAAATAACAAAAGGCTCATTTAAGACCTTCCTGCTCTGTATAATATACTTTCTCAATACTGTTTTCATCATCATAGTATCAGTAACCAAATATTTAATTTATCAACCATCAAAATAAATTAAATCTCACCATTTGCTGAATGAGAAAACAAATGCATTTGTGTGTTCATCATCTATCCTTTATACATATATCTGTATTACTATTTACAGATGTTAAAAATATATATTTGCTAAGCAGAATAGTGTTCATGGGGTGGTGGTTTAATCTGGAAGTGAAAATTGCTGTCTCTAAAGCAGAGAACTATTAAATTGCCTGTAAGGTCATCTATCTCCAATGGTAGAAATTGGGGAATATAACATTGATTACATGGTTTAATCACTTGAACATCTCTGTGCCATAAAATTATGAAAGATAGAGTCTGTTTCTCATATAGTTCACTGTACAATAAGGGAAGATAGCCCAAAATGCAAATAATTAAAAAGGGTTTAATTGGTTATGACAGAGATGACAATACTTGAGATGAATTGTTTATTAAATGTTGAGTACCATTTCAAGTGCTTTCTGTTTAAACCATACACAGTAACTTCATGTGATGGCAATTATTATATGCGTTTTAGAGGTAAGGACTAGGAAACACAGTTAGGTAAAATAATTCCAAAGTAGCACAGCAAGAGCCAGAGCCACAATATAGACAAAGCATTCAAATTCCATAGAGGAAAGACCATTAGCAATGTAATGCCTGTCCTCCACACCTTAGTCATAACAATTAAAGATGACTTCTTGGCCGGGTGCTGTGGCTCACACCTATAATCCCAGCACTTTGGGAGGCTGAGACTGGTGAATCACAAGGTGGAGAGATCAAGACCATCCTGAACAAGGTGAAACCCCGTCTCTACTAAAAATACAAAAATTAGCTGGGCATAGTGGCGCAGCCTGTAGTCCCAGCTACTCGGGAGGCTGAGGCAGGAGAATTGCTTGAACCCAGGAGGTGGAGGCTGCAGTGAGCCGCGATCGTGCCATTGCACTCCAGCCTGGGTAACAAGAGCGAAACTCCGTCTCAAAAAAAAAAAAAAAAAAAAACAATGACTTCTTGCTGTCTTCTTAGGAGAACCTGGAGATTGAGGATGTAGAAAGAGGGATAAAGCGAAATCAAGGACTAGAAAGGATTGCTCCCCTCTCCTGGGATCCAGTTCTCTGAGACAAGGCTCTGGGCTCACATTGGCTGCAGTCAGACATCAGCCCTTGGGGAAAAAGAGTGTGATGGGAGAAACTCTTTACTTCACCAAAATGGATGTCCTGTCCTCCTTTAATTTTCACACATTCCTGATTTTAAGCACAGGGACTGGGAGTTCTCAAAGACAGCTAGAAAAAAGTGCACCCCAAGAATCCAGATCCCTAACTGTTGTACTTTGACTTCCTTGTCCTGATAGAAACCATTCTCCTAGCAACGGGGCTCCAGTAAAAGCCAGGACACAGACAGAGATCTCGTGTTGTGCTCTTCAAAGCCTAATACTCCCCAGACTGAGGGCACAGATAATAGATAAAAAGATGGAAGGACGGAGGTTGGGGGGTGGGGAGAGGAGGGAGCAGAGAAGGGAGGGAGAGAGGGAACAATAATTATCTAAATCAGGAATGGTCTCTGGGGAGGAGCTTCTAAAATAAATGTTCCTACCAGCCAGACTTATGTGCAGATTCTGAAAAGATGATGCCCAAATCTTTCATGAAGCTAAAGATGTGAGATGCATGACTATGAAACTGAAGAACGAAAGAGAACAAAATTTCAGGTCGGTGAGGATATTTAATGAATCTTTTCTATAAGATCTCATTGCAGGAACCAAGGCAGAAAGACAGGGAAATTGAAGCCGATTTCTCAGCAAGAGAAGAGTAACAGTGTCGTCTACCAAGAGTAGCTGTATATAGTGGGCATGGGTCCTAAAGACTCCTTGGCATCCTAAACCTTGGTTTCTTTGAGAGTTACCTCTTCAAATATAAAAAAGGTAAAGCATAGATTCTGAAATACACGAGTCTAAGAATTCTGGAAGCAAACCCGAGCATGGGTATTGACTCAGGTATGAATTATGGAGTTGTATCAATTTCTCTCCTCCTGACTGATTTCTGGTTTCCATTCTAATCCTGACCCCATGCCTGTTACCCTAGAAGTCCAGATAAGCACCAAATATGGAATCATCTCTTCCAAATTCTTGAGGAGGTATACATCTGTAATTATCAGAGTTTCATATACTTTTTACAAAAAGTCACTGTCTGACTACGTGACTTATAAACCAATTCAAAATTAAGCTTGGATGCAGATTGGGTTATGTGTGCCTCTGGATCAAGGATAAAAAAATCGAGATTCACATAGCTGTGTGACTTTAGCACCTGGCAAAGTTTAGATTGTATAGTATGCATCCACTATTCTTCCTCTACTTTTGCCTGCTTTATTCTACCCACACTGGCAGCTGATTAGATGGTACCCACCCAGATTTAGGGTGGATCTGCCTCTCCCAGTCTACTGAATCAAATGTTAGTCTCCTTTGGCAACACCCTCACAGCACACCCAGGAGCAATACTTTGCATCCTTCAATCCAATCACATTTACACTCAATATTAACCATTACAGGAAGGATAAGAGAAAAAGGTAAGAGGGTTAAAAAAAAAAAAAAAAGGATGGAGAGATTAAGTGATTGAGTCAAAAAAGAAGATAAGGAAAAGTGAAGGAAAAAAGCCGAGGGGAGGGTGAGAGAATATGTGAAAGTTAACATCTGAATGGGCTCTCTCTCAGGTGTCTGCAAAGAGACATCAGTTTGTGCGGCAGAGTTTGAAAGTTTGAGAATTAGTTTCTTATTAATAAAAACTCAAGTCTATTCTATGGCAGAGAGCCTGAGAGGTGAGTAATTGCAGGAATGAGGCAAAAGTTTTAGATTTGTATTCCCTCCATATCTCACAGATCATCTCATGTACCACAAAAGCAACTGAGTGACTCAAGTGAAAGCACTCAGTTTTTCTATATAAAAGCAGAAAGGACAAACAGCCATGGTAAGGATTCCACCCAAAAAACAAGGTGTATATAATGCCCCTGTGCAATACTTGACACACGGTAGAAATTCAACAATTATTTATTCCTTACATTTGCTTCTCGGCTTTATTTTCGCTATCTGGTCTTCCTACTCCTATTTTCTTTTTATTATTTATTTATTCATTATATGTTTATTTAGGAGTAATATAACACAATTAACTAGATTGAAGTTCTGTATTACCTTTTCCCTCCCAGCTTTATTTAGGTGTACTTGAAATTTGCTAAGAAAGCATATCTCACATGTTTTCACTACCAAATATATTGATGTTATTATGTGAGACGACAGATACAGTAATTAGTTTGATTATGGTAATTATTTCACAGTGGACACCTATAATAAAACAACAAGTTCTATACTTTATGTACACTTTTTATTTGCCATACTTGCTTCTTTTATCCTGCATAAGCTGAGTATTGTCTGAGTCTTTCACTGGCAGGTGGATTGAGCAATACCTCTTTTTCTCATTTTTTGAAGACAGAGTTGCTTTCCCCTCAACAACCCTCAGTCCCAGTGCCCCAGGCTTAAAGTCACTTTTAGCTGTGTCAGAAATTCCCACACTGACTCATCAGTGTGGGATGAGTGATGGCTCTTTTCTCCTTTCCCTTTCCCACTGAGATATATCACTTTTTATCTGCTGATTAGAGAAACTATAGTTTAATATTTTTATTTAAAATCAAACACAGACTCCTAAAAACCTTCTCATCATCTTATATCTGTTCCCAAAGATTCCATTAAAAAAATGAAATCATTTGGCACACCTCTGGGTGAATAATCCTGACATGTACCCACCAGAGAAAGGGAAAGGAGGCTTTTCTCTGAAACAATAACAAAAACCCAAAAATAAAAAAATTATCTACTCTTTACAAAACATTTCCCCACACTTCGTGTCAAGAGAATGACTGAGAAAACAGGAGTCACTAGTGTGGTTTATTGATTATGTCACCGAGTGTCAAGACTAAATGACTTTCCCATGATCATTGTTAGAGCAGAACTGGAACTTCAACAAATTCTTCTGAAGATGAAAGTCCAGTAATCTTTGATTCATTGCTTTTGTGTGCAGAAAGAGGTTTTGTAAGGCGTGCATAAATTTACATATTATAGTATACAAGATGTGTGGTCCAAACCAACCATAGGGTATCATGGGCCTATTTTCTCTGACTCATGCCACCAACACACACTTTATGTATTCTCAGAGGTTGGCTGCCTGGACCAGCTGAAATCTGAGAATTCTAATGAATCACAGAGCGTTCTCACTTTTGTTAAATCCCATCTGACTCCATAGCTTTAAAAAAAATTCTCACTGATCTTGCCTAAGTTACCAATATTTATATTTGCATCCCCAAGTAAGTGATCTTTTCTAATGCTGTTATCAATTAGTGCCTTCAAATGCTTATCATCAAATCCACATTTTATTGCTTGTTCTTACATTTATATTATGAAAATTTGCACTTTTTGAAGGAGCACATCAATGACTAGGGTAGCAAAGCTGGGCAACATGGAGTTCTATGTGCTTTGGAAACACACACAAGTGGGTCACTCTTTTATGTTACTTTCCAGCTACCCAAAAGTCCCTAGAGTTCCACCAATTGAATTTCCTCAAACATATTGAAGAAAAGTCAATCTGTAAAATTTACTATTTTGTTGTATTTGTTCAGATATTTCTTACTTGTGTATTTGTTTTTCCACTGGATGTGTATATCTACTCTTCCAATAGAACCATTTTTCTACTGATCTTTTAGGTCTCACAAAGTCTGAGAAACCTTTACCTCAATACTACCAGTCAAGATGAAGAGCACCATGAAAAGTGACCTGTAAGTTTCAGGCCATTACAGTGCTTTTCAAATATAGTGATTTGTTCTTTCGTTTTGTTTTTATTTTCTGGGTTATATGATTTACAATGAATTCAACAATATTTATTCTGCATGCATAGCTGTATCCCCAGCATATTATCCTATCCTCTTACATATAGTAACTTAATATCGTCTTTATACATTCCATTTTCCCATACCTAGAAATCTCTCACAAATGACTAAATTATCATCTTTGTTGTCACTGAAAGTCAGGCTGGTGAACATGGAATGAACAGGTAGAATTCTCAAGGAGCAACTTCTGTACAACAGATTTCCATTGCATTACCTGGAGTAAATATTTTCCTCTTATGCAAGGCTGGTAATGAGGCTCAATAACACTGCTTCCACCTTCCAGCTTACTGGCTTCCCAGGCATGGAGAAAGCACATCACTGGATATTCATCCCATTATTGGTAGTCTACATCTCCATACTTCTTGGCAATGGCACTCTTCTCTTTCTCATCAGGAATGATCATAACCTCCACGAGCCCATGTACTATTTCTTAGCTATGTTGGCAGCTACAGACCTTGGAGTGACATTGACCACAATGCCTACAGTGCTAGGTGTTCTGTGGTTAAATCACAGGAAGATTGGCCATGGAGCCTGTTTCTTGCAGGCCTATGTTATCCATACTCTTTCTGTCGTGGAGTCAGGTGTCCTGCTTGCCATGGCTTATGACCGTTTCATTGCCATCCACAACCCCTTAAGATATACCTCTATCCTGACCAACATCCAGGTAATGAAGATTGGTGTGGGGGTATTGACAAGGGCTGGTCTGTCCATTATGCCAATAGTTGTTCGCCTACACTGGTTTCCCTATTGTCGATCCCACGTGCTCTCCCATGCCTTCTGTCTACACCAAGATATCATCAAGCTAGCGTGTGCTGACATCACCTTCAATCGTCTCTATCCACTTGTAGCTGTATTTGCAATGGTCTTGTTGGACTTCCTCATGATCTTTTTCTCCTACATTTTGATTCTCAAGACTGTCATGGGCGTTGTTTCTGGAGAAGAAAGGGCCAAGGCCCTCAACACATGTGTCTCTCATATCTGCTGCATCCTGGTCTTCTATGTCACTGTAGTTGGTCTAACGTTTATTCATAGGTTTGGAAAGCACATTCCTCATGTGGTTCACATCACAATGAGCTACATCCACTTCCTTTTCCCACCTTTTATGAACCCGGTTATCTATAGCATTAAAACTAAGCAGATTCAGAGTGGTATACTTCACTTATTCTCCCTGTCTCACTCTAAGACATGACTTTGTTTCACTGCTCTCTGAGGAATAATTCAGGGAACCTGGACAGGATGATGACATTGCTGGCATAACTAGGGAAAGTCATCTCAGTGAGAACTAACCAATCCCTCAGCATTTCAATGGAAATCAACCAATCCCTCTCCTACTTAGAGCATTATTTCACCCTGCCTGTCTATTGCTAATTTGTATGTGGTATAAAATATGTACAACACTAAGCACATATCTCAGTGCTCAACTGACATTGTTTTCTCCAGGTAGTTTAACTCACACTGTTTCATTAGCCTATGGCGGCACCATAAGTATACATACAAACTTACCTGCACACACACACTATTATATATATTAAATTTATAATTTATATATTTATAATTTAAATATATAAATATTTGTAATTTAAATATATATTAAATATATAATTGATGTATTTATAATTTATAAAAACCTCTGGCTTTGTCCAAGCTGTGGTGACCCTCTTGTACTTGATCCCTTCTCATCAACTGTAAAGTTGCTTTCTCCAGACCAGAATTTAATTTATCTGCACCAAGTGCATGGTATTGAGGGGCTGCCCTATAGAAGATGTGATGGATTATTCTGCTGTACAAGATTATCTTATTCCCTTGCCTAGATAGGAGCCACTGCAGCTGGACGTAGGCTAGTTGGGATGAGCAGCTAAGTAGTCTTCTCTCTTGTTTTTATGAGATCAGTTCAAAAGATGGAACATATTCATTTATCCCTAAAAAACACTGTAAGAACAGCTCCTATATATTTCCATTGCTTTATGTTTATGCAATTCATCTTCACAGACTGTCCTAAGGTAATATAGGTGATGTTTTCTGTATCCGCAAATCATGTGTAACAATTATGGTTTCAGTGCTGTGTCATTTCAAATAAACCTTGGAAAATCTCTTACAATTACCTTCAAAATTAAAAAGAAAAAAAAAAGTAGAGTCAAGGGAGGTAGGGTGGCGAAATTTTCTTAAAGGATTAATGGAATGCTCTGCTCTGATTTCTATAGTAGCATATGTTTCAATATAGAGACAAGATCCTGGAAGTTCTTTTATAAATCTGGAGCAAAAAGGCCATCCTGCCAACATTTTCTTTTTTTTTCTTTTTCTTTTTTTTTTTTTTGAGACAGAGTTTCTCTCTTGTTACCCAGGCTGGAGCGCAATGGCGCGATCTCGGCTCACCGCAACCTCCGCCTCCTGGGTTCAGGCAATTCTGCTGCCTCAGCCTCCTGAGTAGCTGGGATTACAGGCACGCGCCACCATGCTCAGCTAATTTTTAGTATGTTTAGTAGAGACGGGGTTTCACCATGTTGACCAGGCTGATCTCGATCTCTTGACCTCGTGATCCACCCGCCTCGGCCTCCCAAAGTGCTGGGATTACAGGCTTGAGCCACCGCACCCGGCCCAACATTTTCTTTTCTACCTCCATGTGATGCTTAAAATAAATATTTCTGGAGATAAGGCTAATTCCCAAATCTAGATCCAGGAAGAAAGCTTAGAGACTCCTAAGTTCAAAAAACTTAGGAATCCCAAAAAACTCCTAAGTTCCAAAGTTTCAAATCCCTCAGATTGGGAGAATAAAGAAGGAGGGAGGGGAGAGAAGTGGGCCTTATGGGGGAATTTCTGAAACTAATGTTCTTTGCAACTTGGCTTCTGGGTATAATCTAAAAAGGTGGTGTTGGATCCAATATCCTGACCAGGGGTTTATAGTCACATCTATGGCAACAATGAACAGACTTATGAACAGGTCAGTAAGTGGCTCCAGTGTGTGTTGGCCTGGAGACTCAGCGTAGGCAACAGGGCATTGCAGGGCAGAATGGGGAGTAGGCAGCTGGTTTATTGGCGATTGCAGAGAGGCAAAGGCAGTAATCTATCAGTCAAGATGTGATGGGGCAAAGAATGTATAATCTCAATACTCCCTAAAATCTTTAGAACTTGACTTCTGAATAAACTCTTTTAGAAATTCCTAGAAGAAAGAAAAACCTAAACCTCCTTTTTCATTCCCTAGCAGAGATCTAGTTTGGAAAAAAATCAAGTTGAAACTCCCTGGGAAGAGAGAAGGATATCTCTGGTGTAGTTCAGGATTCTAGTTTGGATTATCTGTTTCCTTTGCTGCTCTCTTCAGCTGCATAAACCAGCTTCCTCATTGCCTCTGTGTGTTCCACCAAGTACTTACTCCCAAAAAAGACGAAATTAGACTGAGGATGGGAGGCACTGTAATGATGAGGATATAAACTAACAGGAAGAAAACTTTGCCAAATAGATTAGTTTCAGATTGAAAGCAAACTTTGACATGAGACACAACATGTCAAATTGCTGCATATTCCCAGAAATGAGCCTAGTATCCATCAGGAAAATGTGTACAAATCCTTGTAAATCAAAGTTAGAGAGAGCTTCTTGGTTCACTTCATTCATGCTGAGGTATCAGCATTGCAGATTTTCAAGCTCTCAGACACGCAGATAGGGAGTGATAGTAGATCTGGTGTCTCTGAGGGGGATTGGGGGTGGATAAGGAAAAGTGTTGACTATTTTTACCAGCAGGGAAAACTATCCAGATAAAAATGGTACTGGATGCTTTGGGCAAAAAGCCATTCAGAGCTTTAAAAAGCAGTCATTGTTTAGTTGTTTGTTTATCTAATGAGAAGCCTCTTTATTTTAGTAATTACTAGGTACATATACTATATTGGAGATTGAGAGATGAAAATAGTGATTTTGTGATAGTGATAGCTAGGGCTAGCAGAACCCTTCTTCTGCTAGTGGGCACTGAAATATTCCAGAAATTCCACACTGCATTCGTATGTTTATACCTTAAGCTCCACAGCACCTTTCCCGTGAGCTAAGGTCTTTCATATTAGGTTGATTTTTTAAAAACTCAGACACAAAAGTTCAAAAAAGATTTGAATATGTAATTCTCATTCTCCATGGTTCATAAACATTTAATAGAGAAATTGATGAAACTGTTTAGAACACTGAGTTGTAGCCTGGAGATATGGAGGAGTTTCAGCATAAAGAATGAATAGAATGACTAGAGGCAGAGGCACCCCCAGAGACAGTGAGAGCTGGATCTAAAGAGTACTGACATTGAAAATAGAGAAAAACATATATCTCATTATATCCAAAGGGTTACATAAGTTTTAAAAGTGGAAATAACATGAAAGACCATAAACAATAGGAAACAAAAATTTGACTTGCTTTAGATAAAAACTTTTAAAAGATTTGATCTAAAACAAGTAAGCTTGTTCAAAAAATATAGGATATACATGTACATAGTGAAATGATTACTTCAATCAAGCAAATTAACCTGTCCATCAATCCAACACCTTGCATAGTTACCTTTTGTTTTTTCTGTTTAAGGATATCTAACATCTACTGTCGTAACAGATGTTTAGCTTACGGTACAGTATTAAGTCCTCATGCCAAACACTAGATCTCTAAACTTATTTATCCTACAGAGCTGCAGGTTTATAACCTTTGACCTATATTTTTCCTTTCTCCCCCTTTTTATGCTCTTTCTATGTATTTGATTTTATTTTCTTTTGAGACTTCACATATAAGTAAAATCATGCCTTTATTTCTTTTTATGTCTGGTTTATTTCACTTAGCAAACTGTACCTAGGATTATACATAATGTTGCAAGTGGCAATATCTCCTTTTTTAAGGCTGAATAATATTATGATATCATATATACATATAATATATGTCACAATATATATAGAGCTGTCACAATTTCTTTATCTGTTCATCCATGTTTGGATACCACTCCAATTGTTTCCATTAATTGGCTATTGTGAATAATGCTGCAGTTAACATGAAAGGGAAGATATCTCTAAAAAACACTGACTCTATTCTGGATATATATACAGCAAAGGAATTTCTTCATCATACAATAACCCTATTTTTAATTGTTCAACAAACTTCCATACTGTTTTCTATAATGGCTATGCTAACTTACATTCCCATAAACTATGCAAAAGGGTTCTCCTTTCTCCACAGCCTCTCCAACCCTTATCTCTTGTCTGTTTTGATAATAGCCACCTCAACAGATGTGAGGTGGTATCTTGCTGTGGTTTTGATTTGCATTTTCCTGATGATTAGTGATGTTGTGTGCCTTTTCATATGCCTACTGGCCATTTGCATGTCTTCACTGGAGAAATGTATATTCAGATTATTTGCTCATTTTTTACTCAGGTTACTATTATATATTTTGGTATTGAGTTGATTGAGTTCCTTATATATTTTTGGTATTAGACATGTATCAGATATATGATCTGTAAACATTTTCTTCTAAACTGTAGGCTGCCTTTTCCTTTTGATGATTGTTTCCTCTGCTCAGCAGAAGCTTTTTAGTTTGATGCTGTCCCACTTGTTTATTTTTGCTTTTGTTACCTCATCTCTGGCACATTTTACAGAAATAGAAAACAATTGGAAAATTTGTGTGAAACCACAAGATTTCAAATTGTTTGAGAAAGAAAAACCAAGTTGGTGGCAGCACACTTTCTGATTTCAAATTATATTACAAATCTATAGTAATCAAAAAAATATGGTACTATCACATAGACACATAGACCAAACTGAACAGAATAAAGATCCCAGAAATAAACTTACACCTATACAGTCAACTAATTCTCAACAAGGCCACCAACATAATAGGGAAAGGGTACTCTCTTCAACAAATACTGTTGGGAAAAATGGATATCCAAATGCAAAAGAGTAAAACAGCATCTTTACCTTAAACTATAACTCAACTCAAAATGGATTAAAGACATAAATGTAAGACCTGAAATCACAAAACTCCTAGGAGAACACATGCTGCTTGATATTGGCCTCAGCAATATCAATTTTTTGGATATTATCTTGATTTGAAGAAAATTTTCATGGGAAATCTATATTGACAGATTTCTTCTTTCACAAATGAAGCTCCAGTTTTTTCTTTTTCAGGTCTCTGTTGTTTCCTCTAATAATTTTCTTCTATGCAGTATTTCCTTTTCTATGTCTGCTTTTAAGATTGGTGTACATTTGTTGTTTATGTCATTTGTAAGATATGTGTTTAGTTGTATGTTTTATTTTTTAATTGATGTTGCTCAAGATTTGTGAAAGATATGAATTAACAAATTTTCTTTATGTCCAAATTTTGAAATATGCTGTCAATAATTCTTCAAAAAAATGTTTAACCCACTTTCTCTCTCCTTTTAGGATTCTAAATTCACATATGGTGGACAGCTTGATACTTCCCCACAAGTCTGGCTTTCTGGGTTTCTCTGCTGGGCTTCCTTACTCACCATGCAATCTCTTTGCATGCACTAGCTCTTTGTCTGCTTTTTGCCATATTTGGAACCAGCATGAGACCTTTACCAGATGCAACCACCTGATCTTGGACTTCACCAGAATCATGAACCAAATAAAACTGAAAAATAATAATAAGCTACCCAGCCTCAGGTGCTCTGTTATAGCAAAACAAAATATGCAAAATACACTAAGACTTTAGCCCAACTTGGGGTGGGGAGAAGAGATGGTTTCCCAAAAGGGGACTGTCTGAAAAGTTTCCACAATGAAAATGAAAATTGGTTCCCTTTCAGAATGACTGAAGAGAGGTAAGATATTAGGAAAGAAGGTGTTCCTGAAAGAGTTACTGTGGGAAGATGTGGCAACTTCTCCGAAAACCTTCCAGATTATCTGTGCTCACACAGATGCAAGTGTCAAGGGAGGCAGGGGGATGGACAAAATGAATTGCAACATGAAAGTTTCTTTCCTTTTTTTTTTTTTTTTTGAGACAGAGTTTTACGCTTGTTGCCCAGGCTGGAGTGCAATGGCGTGATCTTGGCTCACTGCAATCTCTGCCTCCCAGGTTCAAGTAATTCTCATGCCTCAGCCTTCTAAGTGGCTGGGATCACAGGCCCCCAC